ACCATTTTCCTTTTTTTTGACTGTAGCTATACTGGAGAGTGTGAAGCAGGGGACACGGGTTCGAGCCCTGGCCCGGGAAGATTCCACATGGTTTTGATTATCATTTCCCTGATTGCTAATGATGTTGAATATCTTTTCATGTGTTTATTGAGCATTTGTCCATCTTCTTCAGAGAAATGTCGATTCTGATCCTTTGCTCATTATTTAATGGGGTTCTTTGTCCTTGCATTATTGAGTTCTAAAAGTCTTTAAATATTCTGGATACAAGTTGCTTGTCAGGTATATGATTTACAAAAATCTCCCATTCTGTGGTGTATCTATCTTCTTGTTTTTCCTTGAGAATCATGAACTCACAAAATCGCATGCATGTTTCCATTGTCTGTAGTCATTCTTTTCAATACTCAGCCTGTCTGTGTTTGGCCAGGGGGAGCCCCTCCAAGGACGGCTTCCTGTTCTGTCAATACAACACCGACTGTCTTCAAGAGCGTCCTCACAGAGGTAGAATTTCAGGTCAGTGTTAGCTGGAGATGAGAGAGGACTTCCCAGGCCCCTGTAACCACTACCCCGGAGCCCCTCACAGGGCTCAGGGCCAGCTCTGCCTGCAGGCTCCTACCACCAGCTAAACCTGGGTCAGAGCTGGGAGCTACCCTTTGGGTGGAACTGGTTTTCCCCCAACCTGGTTTTCCGCATACACAGAACCAAATGATCGTGCAGGAGAAGCAGAGATGAGCCCCTCCCCCCCCACCCCCCACCCCTCCGCCACGAGCTCTGACCCCTCCGACCTTCCTCCAAGGACAGAAATCCACACAGATAACCTCTCTCCACCTTTGTCCTTCAGGAGAGCAGATAATGCTCAGAGGATTAAACGGTGGTGCAAGGTACAACCTCTCCCTAATAAAAAAATAAATAAAAACAAACAACCCAGTAGCAAAAGACAGGAGGGCAGGCGGGAGCCCAGGCCCTTCCCAAGGGGGACACAGGGAAGGAGAACTGGGCATTTATGTCCTAAGGGGATGCAGGGAAGTGGAAATCTACTGTTGACAGTGTCAGGCTTTGCACAGACACCATTCCTTTTAATTCTAACAAAAACTCAGCAATGTGTATGATGTGATACTTATTGGTTCCACTTTATAGATTAAAAAACTGAGGCCTGGGGGGTTTGAATAACTTGTCAGCTAGCATCCGCCTGGTTGCAAGGCCTGAGTTCCTCACAGCGCCCTGGCTCGGAGGGCTGGAAGGCAGGAACCCGGACGCTGGACCCCACGGACGGACAGTCCATGAGATGCTCCTTCCAAAAGGGCTTCATGGTTAAGGAAGTTCGGGAAATGCTACATAGAATAAGCTTCTTTTATGCTCTCATTCACGGGAGCTTAGTAAAGGCTCTCTCGTAAGAGCTGCAGAAAAAAATAACCTTGTCTGATTCAAATAAGTTTTTGAATACATTTGACCTAGAAAACTGCCCTCACCATTTCCCCCCTAAAAACTCCAGAGGACACAGGAGTTGGGGAAAGCTGTCCGTATCCACAGTGTATGAAGCCTGTTTCCCCGTGACCAGCAGCCAGTGACTGTGGGTGACACCCGGGCACCTTGGGATGATTCAGCTCCTTTCACCTTTCAGTGGATGGGTTCTGTCCATTGACGCAGTGGATGGGTTCTGTCCATTGATGCAGTGGATGGGTTCTGTCCACTGATGATTGCCTGAGTCACACATTTCCACAGGAAGGGCAAAACAGTGATGTTTCTATTTTCTTTATTCCTTTGCCATTTATTCACTAGCAAATTACTGAATCGCTAGGCAGAGTGAAGATTCCTGGCCTGTGAAAGTCTGTGATTTCCCTGACCTCAGTACTAGAACAGTAACCTGGGAGGAATCTAATTCTCCAAGCCCTGTGGGCAGCGCAGCTGGGGGCAGCGCAGCGGATTAATTTCAGGCCAGACAGGAAGAGCTAACTTGGCTAAGATATTATGCCTTCAGATTCGAAAAGGTACTTTGGCTTTTGAATTTAAGTGTCATGGCTCTTGTCAAAGTCCTGGAGTTGCTTTGTTTACTCTAAGCTAACCAAACTGACCCGTGCCTGCCTAACTGGAACCCAAGAAAGGCAGGTGTTGGGACAAAAGAAAACCGGGCAGAAGGACAAAAACAATACCTCTTTACACTTATGACACTTTTGTCATCCACTAAGCACTTCCTCAGATGTTTCCTCTTTGCATCATAACAGATTATATGATCTGTGACCTGTGGAATTCAGTGTGTCAGCTCATAATTAGACCTACTGTTTAATTTTTTTTTTCTATTTTGATACTTGGGCGAGAAAATCCATCTTGTTTATACCATATGGAAGCTATTCTACTGTACGAAGCATCATGGAGCTGCGTGCCGTGAAGCTCTCCATGGGACACCCAGCCAGGGGACATCCCCGCCCTTCCACAGCACAAGCACTGCCACTGCACACACTGTATGTAAACACAGTCCACACTAACAGAGCTGGCCATGAGGGTGTTCTGAACCCGGGGCCAGCCTCCCTCCAACCTCTGACTTCACCTATCTGTCAAAGCTCACAGTCTGCTCCTCAGTCAACAGGGAAGCTCTGAGCGCAGCCTCGGCGGTGACTGCATTTCCTGGACTTGGATGGGCATGCGGGTTCCCACTCACTGCTAGGACTTTGCAGTCACTTTCGCAAACCTGGGATTCGACGTAGCCAGTGATGTCTGCATCTTCACCTCCCATACTCTGTCTGTGCAGGGACCACGGAGGGTTGGGCCTTTCTGAAGCTTTAGGAAATAATGTAGCTGGGTTTCTTATCTACTGTTACGTTTTCTTATACATTAGCCCATACTGCCTGCTCCATATTTAAAGCAGCAAAGATACTGTTAACGTGAAATCTTCTTTGTCCCAACATTTGAAATAGTGGAGAAAGTATGGCTCTCAGAGTAAGAGAACTGGGTTCAGATCCCAGGTTAGCTACTTAGTAGGACATTTATATATTCCTTTATCCAGTATATTCCTATACTTAAATACTCCAGTTGACATTCCTCCACACAATGGGAAACCAATGGAAAGCTCAAAGGCCCAGCTGAGGCCCAAATGGGAAAGCTGAGTCTTCGAGGCTGGCCGAGAGAGGACAGCAGTAATTGGGACAGATGACCTCAGCAGCCTTTCTCCAAGTGCTGTCACTTGACAATGAGGCTCAGGGCTCCACTCTGGACCTCCTGAGGCTTTGAGGTTGGGGGGTCTTCTGACAGCTCAAGTTTCAGAACCACTGCTCATGAGGGAAAGAAAAATATTAGGGGATAAGACTGAACCACTGAGATCCAGGAGCCCCTTCTCACATGGCAGGGGGCAGACACAGTTTGGTTTATATTTAAAAAGCCATTCAGTTTCCTTACACCCACCTTCTGGGATGATGTGAGGTGGAGAAATTACATTTGAAAAGTGCCTCTTGGGACTTCCCTGGTGGCGCAGTGGTTAAGAATCCGCCTGCCAATGCAGGGGACACGGGTTCGAGCCCTGGTCCGGGAAGATTCCACATGCTGCAGAGCAACTAAGCCTGTGCGCCACAACTACTGAGCCCGCGTGCCTAGAGCCTGTGCTCCGCAACAAGAAGCCAGCACAATGAGAAGCCCGCGCACCGCAACGAAGAGTTGGCCCCGCTCGACGGAACTAGAGAAAGCCCGTGCGCAGCAACAGAGACCCAACACAGCCAAAAATAAATAAATAAATAAAGTGCCTCCTGGTCAACAAATGGGAGGTATTAATAATATGAATAATAAAGACCGCTTTGGTCCTTCTAGGTCGCACATTCCTCTCTCCACCAGTGGACTCTAACGGCCTTCCTGGTGTTATTATGGGATTGAAACATTGTGTATTAAGATATATTTTCACAGAAGATCAAGGTTAGGTGTGACCCGTAGACAGCCTAACAGGAAATAAATCTGATTCAATGAAACGATTCCTATTTTAACTCTCAAAGGCATTTCGTTTCTTCTTTAATGCTTTTTATTTTGAATAGACAGCATATGTTCATTGTACAAGCTTCAAAGGGACAAGAGTATACAGTGAAGTTTCCCTCCATCCCTCACCCCCTTAGCCCTCCGTACAGGTAGCCACTAACATTTCTCCTATCTTTGGAGACAAATTTATACTTTCTTTGTCCCTATGTACAAATGACTGGCCTACTTCACACAGGATCCTGCACCTTGATTTTTTTCCCTATAAATTTTAAAGATCTTTCCATATCAGCACACATATTTCCCTTATTCTTTTAAACTACCGTATAGTATTCGATGATGGAATGGATGCACCACGATTTATTTGACTCTGTCCCTTTGGTGGATATGTAACTCATTTCCAATCCTTCCATATTAAAAATAATGGTGTTTACATTCCAACTGAAGTCCTTGCTAGAGATGCCCAAGGGTCTCTGCCCCCATGCTCTCATCGGGGCATTTTAGATGACGCAGCCATCTACAGTTTTGGCCAGGGTAAAACATTTACAATAAACAAAAACAAAGCCCTGAACGGCCGGAACCTCCCACGTCTCCCTCTCCACGAGGTGCGCCCCACACGTGGCGCTGCGGTTCCCGCGCTGGCTCCGAGCTAGCGGACCTGCTCTCCGGCACGTGTAGCGGCAACTGCGGACGCAGCCCGCGCGCAGCTGCTGCGCTCCTCCCGGCGCCCACCTCCGCTCTGGAGCCTGCAGGCCCGGGCGGCCGCGGGGTCTCGCGGATGCGGCAAAGGCCCACGAGATGCAGGCGGCGGGGACAGTCCCGCACGCCCTCGGACAGTCATCTGCCCGCCCGGAGCGCGCCAGCGCGGGTGCCTGGCAACCGCCAGCCAATCGCCGCCGGACCCCGGCCGTTTTACGGCAGCAGGCCTCGCCCCCACGCGCTGCCGAGGGGCGGGGAGGAGGTGTGCGGCAAGCGAGAGCCAATCCGTGCCGCCGTCTCCCGCCCTGCGCCCTCCCATTGGCCCAGAGTCCGGCTGCGGGCCGCGACCGTATGGTGGGGCCGAGCTGTCGTGAGGCACGCCGGCGGGCGGTTGCGGTGTCCGCGCTGTCCGCTCCGCCGGTTGTCATTGGGCTCCGAGGAGCGGCGCCGAGGGCACCGTGGGCGGCCTGGTGTCTGGCACGGCCATGGCGGGCGCGCTGGTGCGGAAGGCGGCGGACTATGTCCGGAGCAAGGACTTCCGGGACTACCTCATGAGGTGACGAGTCCCCGGGGCCGGACCCGCCGAGGGGTCCGGGGTGCGGAGCCGACGCCGCCGGAACGAGGGGCCGCGAGGGTGCGGGCAGCGGGGTGGGCTCCGCGCAGCGGGGCGGGGATTCCGGGGCGGCGGGGCGGGGGGTTGCGGACAGCGGGGTTGGGGCTCCCGGCCGCGGGGCGGGACTCCAGGCAGCCGGGCGGGGTCCCGGGGAAGTGGCGCAGGGGGCTCCGGACAGTGGGGTAGCGGGGCGGGCCGGAGCCCCTGCGGGGGGACCCCCACCGCGGCGCGGGCGGGCGCCGAGAGCGGGCCCGGTCCGGCGAGTGAGACCGGGGCTCCGGCTCGCTGCACCTGCTCGGCAGGTGTGTGCCCAGGTGTGCGGCGGACCTGCCCCGGGCGCGGGCTGGGAGGGCGCCTCCCGGCATCGCTCGGTGTAAGGTGAGCCTCAGGTGCTCCTTTTCCGCGACAAGGGCACTGAGCCTGCCGGGTCGACCTCGCCCTTCGGATTTCTCAGCTTCAGGACGTCAAGCGTGGGACGGAATCAAATCTAACATACGAATATGCTGCCAACCAAGGGCATACTTTTTAAGATTCTGCTTTCCATTAAGTCTTTATTTTCAATGAGAAAGAAAGGGCAGTGGAGGGATGAAAAGCCTACTTCCTATGTTTTATTTTATTTTTTTGGCTTCGCCGCTCGTCAGGCGGGATCCTAATCCCGCCCCCCACCAGGGACCACCTGCGTCCCCTGCATTGGAAGCGCTAGTCTTAACCACTGGACCTCCAGGGAAGTCCCTCTTTCTGTATTTTATTTTCGCCTGTAATCTTGAGATGCCTGCTTTTTATTTCATTTATTTAATATAACTTTAAAACCGTTTTATATGGTTGATTTAGGTGTATACATTTTAGTTTTTCTTTGTGTGATTTTTTTTAAACCTAGGTAAGTGTAGGGCTGCAGTATGTTTCAACAGGTTAGTGTAGTAAAGAGGTAAAGTGATGACAGCTGAGGAGAAATAACTATCCATAGGGTACAGTATGAAGGCAGCTTCATTTTACCAGTAAAAGAAAAAAGAGGATTTTTTTTTAAAATTCTGAATTTTATTGCAAATACTGTTTGCTTGTAATTTTAAAGGGCAGTAGGTAAGAAAAATAATTGTCTGCCACGTGGTAAATTTGGAAACAGAAGCTTCACTCTTGACTTTCCAAAAATGAACTTTGTGTACTTGCATAGGACCATGATTAATTAGGGTAGATGTTTAGTACTGTGGAGCAGGGTATTTATCAGATTAATGTGCTGGGGAGATCGGAGGAAAGTAGTCATGGGAGGCTGTGTTATTAGTCCCTGCAGTCAAGTTTCTCTATGACTTCAAATATTACCTTAGGTTTTACTAATGTTTCTCCTTTGTATGAGCCTTCCTAATAGTTAAGTACAGCTAAGTGTAAAACTGTATGATGTAATTAAGAATCAAGTCTTATCCATATTAGAAATATGCTGATGATTACCTAACGTTCTATTACACAAGAAGAATTTGTAAAATATATGTATTTTCAATGAAGAGAGTTAGCCCTGCTTTTCTAAATGTATGTTTCTTTTTACTAGACAGGTGTCTGTGAGCCAGGTATTTCAATTGAATACTTTGATATATGGTCTAACCTTTTTTCAAAGATTAAGTTCATGTAGCTTTAATGTTTACATGCCTTCTCTAGTATTGCTTTAATTGTATTAAGCTCTGACTAAATGAGGAAAAAAAGAGAATTGCAGTGTCCAGGAAAGTGCTGCCTGGTAGGACACCCAGCTAGGATTCCGAAGAATGACTTCTAGCCAAGGGATCCCCAGCAGTCAATCCCAGTGGACTTTTGTTACCCTGTCTGTGAAATGGGTTTAATGACAGTGCCCTATCTGGTTGGGTTGTTGAGAAAATTCAACCAGATGAGGGATGTGAAAATACTTGGAAACCCCAAATCACTACGTATTTCTATTATATCTTGCTATTTTTGTAGCAGAAACATTTAAAAAAGTTAAAATCTTAAGTGCGAGTGTTACTGAACAGAACTTGAGTCTGTGCACCCGACACACAGCAAAGCCAGTCTCCTGACACTGGTTGTGGGGAAGGGAAGTGCAGCGTTTACTGCAGAGTGCCTGCCAACCAAGGAGAAGGGGCAACTCATGCTCAAGAGACGCAGGCTCCCAGATGGCTTTCAGGGAGGGGTTTTTAAAGACACATTAGGAGTGAGGGTTGCAGGGTGCGTGATCAGTTTGTGGACTTTCTTCTGACTGGTAGGTGGTGAGGTAACAGGGTGATATTTGGGGAATCTTAATGTCAGCCTTCTGGTTCCAGCTAGTCTCAAGGCTACTTCTTGTGGTGGGAATGTAGTGACCATCCTCCACCTGGGTGGGAGCCTTAGTTCCTGCAGAACAACTCAAAGATCTGTGTTAGATTGATATGTATATCCCTTCAGGAGGGACTGGGACTCTGTTTCATCGCTGATTGTTTAAAGCTATCATTGCTTTTCTTGCTTAACTGCTTTTCCTTCTTCTGCATTCCCTCACTTCCCTCGTTAGCAACTGCTTGAGTCTGCCCTTGGGAACTTGGGGAAGGCCTGGACGACTAAAGCCTTTTCCTACAACAAGAAACGGGGGACACAGAGGGGCTTTTGTACTCAGGAAGGCCCTGCAGGGTCCTGCTCAGTTTCATGAGGCGTAAAGCTCTGCGACTTTGACTTGGAAATACTTCTGTGGACTGAACAGGTGAAGTGAGATGTCCGCCTGGCCTTGTCTTCCCCGCTGCTCTTGGCAGCAGTGGGATTTCATGCCAGCCTGCGGAGCAGTGATTGAGTGATTGGGCTGATATCAAAGCGCTCAGCAGAGCTCTTTTATTAGCTTTTTCTGCAGAAAGGAGTCACTTCTCCCCAGCATTTATTAGAGGAACGTTTCCCCTGTTTGTTCCTCTAGTCTTCTTGCTTACAGCCCCTGCTTTGCCTTTGCAAATAAATGAAGCCATAAGAAGACAATTTCATATTCTCTTCCAATCAGAGACGGGGCCCTGTGCCTTCTCAGTTCGTCAATCATTTGCACTCCTGAACAACTCAAGCTCTCTAGCGTTCTTTTTACAGCCTGCCGAAGGGGTATAGAGGTTTTCCAAACTAAAGCTGCTCTAGAATTTTAAAAGTCATTTTATTAACATAGTTGAAGTCTTTAGCAAAACTTTAAAGTCATTTTACATAGATTATAACCTCCTGTCAATTACATTTTATGGATAAGACGGAAATGTCTTTCTTACTAAAGTGAATTTCCAAGTGTATTTTAAAATGTTGATTTTTTTTCTCATCGAGGAACAGGAGTTAGAAGAACAGCCTGTAACCAAAGGCAGTGTGTGGACTTTGATTGGATCTGATATGGGAAAAAACAGCTATAAATGGCATTACTGGGACAACTGGGGCATTTAAATTGGGTCTTAGTATTAAAATATTAAGTAATTATTGACAGTTTTTGTTGGAAGTGATGGCAGTATTATTACACCTAGGTGATGAGTTTGAATGATGGGTTTGAATCCCAGCCTTTTTGCTTTCCGGCTGTGTAGTCTTGGACAAATTGCTTGGTGTTTGGGCTTTGGTAGCTGTTTGACAACACAGCATGATGCTGTGTATATTACAAAAGTAAATGTCCTATTTTTATTGTTATCAATATTCCATGTTTAACCCCTGGCTTCCCGGTGCTCCTGATGCCTTCCATCCTTCCTTTCACTGATTTCTTCTTACTTACTTTAATGAAAATCTTGAATCAAGAACTTCCTGGATCTCTATTACCGTTTTGTTTTGTTTTTTTAAATAAACTATTTCCTCACCTACGTTATTGGTGGAGTAAAAGAAGATAGCTCTCTTTTTTGCTCTTATTCTCCCTCCTGAATTTCGGTTAAGAAAAATAAATTAGAAAGAACAACTAAGTTTTGAGGTAGGATGTATGTTCTAGCAACTGAGTCAGTCAAGGTCTGTGTATATTTATCCTAGAGATTTACTCCCCTCCCTCAGAGAAGTGAACAGATGTATATGTGCACGTATGTATTTGGATATATGTGCAAAGAATGTTTTCTTAGGTAGAACCTAGATCACGAGTGTTTGAAAATCAGTTAATCAGTCAGCATGCTCTTGTAAATCCGAAGTGAGTCAGCTGTTTGCGGTGAATATTCTCCAGTTAATGAGGTTGTCTATTCTAAGTTATTTTAACTTCTTAGTTTCCAGGAGAGCTTTAAGAATTTATATTTACTACCAAAGTGAGAAGTTGCAGTGGAAAACAGGGAGTCTTTCACAAGTTATAGGATATTAGAGCTGGAATGGACCTCAGACATCAGGTAGTCCAACACTTCACCTGCCATTTGGAAAAACTGAGATCCAAACCAAGCGGAAAAGTTGAGACCCTCTGGACGCCAAACCTGTGAAGCCAAAACAGGAATGTCATTAAGATGACATTAAGATTTAAAGGGAAATAGTTATGCACAAAAATGGTTTTGAAAAGAAGGTTTCAGGTACTTTCTTTGCACCTACTTTTCCTGTGTCTGCCTCCCTTCTCTGCCATGCTGCTTGCATACCCGCCCCTGGCCTTACTTCCCTGCCATGTAAATGACCTTCAGAAAGTTACTGAGGCTGAAAGTGTTGAAGCAGAACTGGCCACAGGAATCTCTTTCCTGCCGTCCAGTTTAGTTTTGACCATCTAAATACAGTTGAATATCACACATTCTGATTGTTAAAATTCTCTCATTTTAACTTGGACTGGAAAATCAGGTAACAGTTGCTGAGCATAAATGAAATGGTAGTGAGCATTTTCAGCCTATAAGAGAATTGCAGTCTAGAATATCTCCAAGCCTTACCCCGCTCTCAGTAATGATATAAACAGACTATGCTAGGCTGTCACTTAGATCCTTTTAGTACTGTATAAGCAAGTTATAAATTACCTAAATTACTCACAGTACTTTCAGAGAAAGCTAACAGTTACTGTCAGTAATTTTAGGAAAGGAAGAAACAGATTGGCAATGCCGAGAAGACATTAAGAAAATAAAAATGAGCTTAGAAGAAACCTGAAGCCAAACAAACAGTCCAAATTAAGGAGAAACAGGATAAAGTTTATTCCGGGTAGTCATCCTCCTTTGTCACCTCCATCGTCATTCTTAACGGGGGAGATCGGTTTTACCGCCACAAGAATTCAAGGTCATAAGTGAACCAAGAAAACACTTATGCATTTTGAGGTTGTTTTAACCTTCACTGAAATAAAATACAGGCAACACACCCAATAAAGAGAAAGTCAAGGGTAGTTTCCACACAGTTTTTACATTATTTTCCGCCAACTGCAGTTCGTGTTGCTTATAAGTTTATCTTTCTTTGGAACAGAAACTAATACATACCAGGAGGCTTTTCTCTTCGAGTTTGGCTCTAGAAAACTAGAAAAGCACAAATATGCTTTTCAGAGGTTTTGACTGAGTAGTTGATGCATGTTTTGGACAGTTCTGACATAGAATTAAGGGATGTTGAGTTGTGGCTTTTTGTATTTCCCAGGGATGTTTAGAATAAATTTATTCTCAGATTGGCTTATCGTCATTAAACCACTATTAAAGTGATGTGATCAACATTATTTTTGTGGTCACTTTCACATAGGGCTTTGGCATTGAGCAGGGTATGATGGCGGAAGTTATTCCTCCTTCACATTCCTTTATAAGCTGCCTGTTGTAAACTAGGGTAGAATTTGAACTGTTGTACAACTCAAGGAAAGAGTCCTGAATTGAAAACTCAATCACCTCCGAGCTGACAGTTTGGATTTTAAGAAACACATCTTTTAAAATATTTTTGTAGGAAAAAAATGTGCCATTGGTAATTTATAGATAAATAAAAGGCCTGTGTTCAGATCCTGAGCAAAGGAGAGTGACACCACAGGTGACGATAGTCCATAAACTACTGGATCCTGCCCTCTGACCTGATAAGGGACTCACCCTCTCTGCCGTCCAAACACTGTGCTCAGCTTGGACTTGCTGTGAAATACAATCTTGGCAACGTAATTTGTTACCGCAGTTGAAACATAATCTGTTAAAACAGTGCACTTAATATTGAAAGACGGACTCTTTCTAGGCTGTTCGTATTTCATAACAGAACCTATTTGAAGTATATTATTAGCATCGTCAACAGCTACTCTCATGCTGGAGATTAGAACCTGCTTGACCTCTACATCAAAACAACTAGCGGAGCTGTTTGGACGAGACAGTGTGTATAGAGGATTTTATCATTTTATTTCAGTAATTCTTTCAGGAGCTACACTTTTAAGAGTTTGCCTTATCAGAACAATTAAGCTATATCCTGAAAAGAAGAATTGCCATCTCAGAAGTCAAAGTAATTCGACGTATTTCTGAATGGTATTAATTTTAGCATTCAGGAAAACAATTCACTTAACATTAGAAGAGTTTTCCCTTCATTCATTCAGCAAACATTTTTTGAGTGCCTTGTGAATTCTGGGCACCACTTGGGCCAGAGTTTCAGCTGTGAACAGAATATGGAATTACACGCCTATTTTTAGGAGCTTACATTCTGGTGAGAGCCTGTTGGTAAGTAAAAATGGAAAGTCCGTTGCTGGTAGAATTCTGCAGCATTTGTGCTTCTCTCCAACTTGTCATTTTCAAAGAAATGCCCCCTATAAGCCCGTGCTGTCCAGTCTGAGAGCCACATGCCCCAGGTGGCAGGGGGGCTCGTAGAGGGTGGTCAGTCCAAGCTGAGCTGTGCAGCAGTGTCGACACCCACTGGATCTCGGAGACTCAGTGCCGAAAAAGAATGTAAAATACCTCATCAATAGGTTGTTATTGATTACGTGTTCAAATTAAAATATTTAGAAATGTTGGAATAAATAATAAAATTAACTCTTGTTGTTTTTCACTTTTGTTAACATGACTTCTAAAAATTTTAAAATTACATGTGACTCCTGTACGTGACTTGCATTATATTCCTGTTGGATAGCTCCACTCTAAGGATTAAGTTTACGTTTCATAAAATTAAGGTTTACTTTCATTAGGTCAAAGTTATTGACCTAATATCACTAGATCTTCTCAAGAAGAAAAAAGGATATGTGCTGCTAGTGTTGTAGTTCTGTTACTGAAACTTGAATACATGTATGAGGGTAAAGTAACCGAAATCTCTCAAAGCATCTGATCTTCTTTTTTTTCCCCCACATGTCTCTCCTGTCTGAACCTCGGTGACTCCTCACAAAATAGTACGGTAAGAACCTGTCGCTACCTGTCATCAGGCTTCTGCAGACTTTCTGCATTAACAGGGTGTGGACAGGAGACAGCCATCATAGCACATCCTTGTGGGTCCCGGGCTAAGGGCGCCTCCAGTGACCCCTTGGTCCTCCGGTTCCACTCTGGACAGTAACTTCTCTGCAGGACCAGTGCATTGACTGATGAATATCTGACAGAGCACAGACCAAACATGTATTCCAGGAAAGGGAAGTGAGAACTAGAATCTTGTACTCGATAGAAAAGATGTATTACTAACTTTCTATGGTTAGATATTTTAGTAACTAGTGTTGAAATTATCTTTACCTTTTATGTTCTTTTTATGAAATATCTCTTAAGTATATCTCAATGCTTATAATCACAAGTGTATATAAAGCCCTTAACTTGCAGAACTCTGCTTTATATAACCCTACACTCACCACAGTAAAACTTTGAATACTGTCTTGTGACCAGAAGTCCCCCGGGCTGCCTCAGGTTTCAGATTTATGCCGTGGCCTCTTACTACTTGGTCGCAGCTGTGAGCGCAGATGCCTGGCTTGGCTGAGCCCCTCAGGGCAGCCCTGAGTGTGTGCATAATGCGGGGATCTGGGGGCCACCGTGCAGAGTAGAGCAGAGCGGTGGAAAGTGATTAAACAGCCAAGCGACGGGAATAGACTGACGTGGTCACAAAAAGGAGGAGAGAAACATCACTGGAGTAACAGAGAGTTGAAAGTGAAGGGACACAAAGGAAAGGACAGGAGGGGAAACAGGCAGGTAGGTGAGGAGGGATAGATACTCCATCACCAGAGGTCTGGAGGATGAGGAAGGAGGAAAATGGCCAGGCTGCGTCTAGGTACAAGAAACATTAAAGTGTCAGCAATGAGTAGCTGAGACAAAATCCAGTCCGAAAGCAGGAGGACTAAATAGCCTTGCCCGGAACCTCAAAGATTCTTTATACCAACTGTGCCTGAGGTGCAGCGTCCATAACTCAGATGTGAGATTCTGCAGTACTCACCGTGCTGGCAGTAGAACAGCTCTGACAGTTTTATAGCTATTTAAGGCAGAGGCCTCATGCTTACATTATTAAACACGTTATGTAAACGTTTCAAAATACTCTTAGATCATGACGAAGGTAATTCTCACTTATTTTTCTTGCATTTTCTTGTTTCTCATTCTTAACGAAGTTATTGGATTTTAATGACTCTTGGTCAGTATTAGAAATGCAGGTCTAGAAAGGTATTTTGCAGTCTGCGTTTATCTTAAATGCTCTGATAGGCAGAAATAAAGCACTGCTTAATGTTCTGATAACTGAAAAGGGTCTTTACCCAACAGTGTGTGGTTTCCTTCATATTTTATTTTATTTTTTGTTTTTCACTTTTTTTTTGGCCATGCTGCACTGCTTTTGGGGATCTTAGTTCCCCAGCCAGGGATGGAACCTGGGCCACGGCAGTGAAAGCACCAAGTCCTAACCGTTGGACCGCCAGGGAATTCCCTCCATATTTTAAAGCATTATTTGCAAATTGTACATAAATAAAACAATTTTTAATTTAATGGGGAAAGCCCCTGGACTTATTTCAGCCTCAGAAGTTAAATTAAATTGCACGTTGGTACTGTTCAACGTGGACAACTTCGTTTCCGTACCCTGGGATTGCCGTGGTCGTACATGAGAAACTCCTGATCCATTTCTTAAATATGGGCTGTTCCTATTACTTCAAAATTAATTCTCAGTTTCATTTCTCATTATCTGGGGGTCTGAGGGTAGGTTTTCGGTTCTCTGACCCTCGTATAGCTCACGTGAGCTGAAAAGCAGCCTCTTCCCTATTAAGTTACCTCCTTCAGAAAAAGTATCCAACTTAGGGTCTGCATTTTAAGAGATGTTGACAAATATCCTAAAGAAAATTTGAAAAATGTTTGATAGATTTAAACGTTACATTACAGAGAATGGTTGTAACAGGTTTAAGTTGTAGCAAGAGTGACTTGTGTAAGAAGTTAATCTCATTTGAAAATTCTCTAAACGGGACAGTCTGAGATTACTTAGTTGTGATCGGGAAGTTCATAGGGACCTTGGTAAAGTGCCTGATCCCTTCTGGTTTGGGGCTCTCACCTTGTGAGAACTGCTAATTCATAGGCACATACTTGCACACTGAACGCCTGCACGGTAACCTTCCCCAGTTAACCGCACGTTTCACGTCACTGTTTAAGAGAAGTTGTAGCTGTTCACGCTCCATCTTCACTTTTCCTCTTCTTTCTCTCCTCATTTTTTAACAGCACTTTTGGGGCCCAGTAGCCAACTGGGGTCTTCCCATTGCTGCCATCAATGACATGAAAAAGTCTCCGGAGATTATCAGTGGGCGGATGACATTTGGTAAGGATGCAGATTTGAATAATTGGGAGGATCTTTATATATAAAATTATAGCATAATACAGCTCCTGCTTACATTTCAAGTTTGTAGCAGCAGACACTAAAGTCACTATTAGAAAGTAACGTAAAGCGCCTGACGTTATTGATGGGTGTTACTCCTCATGTAAGGAAGAAAAAAGCGTCACTGTAGTTGGAAGTATTTATTAAGGTCCTGTTTGCCTTTCAGCTTTAGCACCCCTATAGCTAAAGAGTGTATCCTCTCGGACCTTATTTGGAAAAAGGATCTTGAAGTTAACTTGAAATCCTGATATTTGAACATAAAAGTCGTTGAGGGGATTAAATAGCAGTTCTTTCAGATAAGGGACTATAAACCACTCTAGGGGACAGAAAAGGAGGTTAGAACTGATGTCAGTTTACTGACATTATGTTCTTTAACTGTTTAAGTAATAAGTAACAGAATACCTAACAGAGGAGCAAACCATCTGATGAGTTTCCCATTCATGGAAGCATTTAAGCGATAGCTTTTATCATCTGTTAAGGTTTTAGCAGAAGAGGTTGTTTTTTTGAGGCCGTTGAGCCCTGTCAGCCCTCAGTTGGAGGCTGTAGGTCACTCTCCTGCATGTCCCTGGCAGCCCTCTGCTGTTACTCCCTGACATTCATGAGATTCGCCTACAAGGTGCAGCCTCGCAACTGGCTGCTGTTCGCCTGCCACGCCACGAACGAGGTAGCCCAGCTCACCCAGGGGGGACGGCTGCTCCGGCACGAGTAAGTAGATCCCGCTGAGCCTTTGTGTTCTGAGGAGCTGGGGAGGCCTGTGTCTGTTGTGGGGCGGGCTGTGACTGTGCCGCTGGGGAGACTCGATGCAGAGCAGAAATATGCTGAGAAGGGACTGTGCTGTTGAGACAGTGCAATGAGAATTCACTTATTAAACATGAAAATTAGCATGAAATAGGGTATTACTGTTCTTATGACATCGTGACCTGAAATACATGTTAACGTAAAGGTGTCTTCCTAAAGCCTTCCAAGGCCTTCGAGGCTGGCGGTGAAGTTTTGTTTCTCATTGAATTTGTCTTTGTGCTCCTTCCCAGGATGTCTAAAAACGCCTCAGCATAACAGTGGAGAATGAAGATCCGGCTTGTTGAAGGGGCGGCATTGCCGCTGCTGCTGCTGCTGAGTCACAGGTTCCACCCTAGTGAATAGTGTTGCTAAGAAAAATAAGCGGAATGAATGCTACTTGTACTAACCAGACTGTTTCCCTAGAAATAGCAGGGAGTTCCTAAACCTACGCTCTGCTGCCTTACAAGTACTGAATGTTTCACTTCTCTTCAGAAAGAGTAGCTCAAATATGCGGTCAATTTAATAATTCCCAATGATGGTTTTATCTGCAGTAATATGGATGTTATCTGTTAGAATTTACTTAATGAAAAACTGAAGAGAACAAAATTTGTAACCATCAGCATTTAAGTACTCAGAAATCATGACCTTTCGTTTAATGACCATGAGACAGCTGACAGCTGGCCACATAGCTAAAATCACATTGCTAGTGTTTGGAAAGGTATTTGTATTTCCATGCAGTGTGTATATTGAAATGCTGTAAATTAATGGCAATAAATGATTTAAATATTTGTCAAATGAGCATGATTAAATGCCTTGTTATGTTTGTTAAGAAACTGAAGAACTATATCCCTGAAAGGTCAGTTACAGGTGAAAAGTGGAACTCCTTGAAAATGATTAAGATAGCTAGGGAAGTGACAAGCTGGGGGTCAGTTTTGGGAAAGCATCCACATTCCCAGCTATTCATAATTCCCTCTTTCAATGGGCAGACATTAGAAAAGGCACCCAAGCACTGCGCCTAAAAACTGCCCCGTACTAGCTGACTGCAGGCTGCCCGGAAGCGTCCTGGGCTTGAGTTTTTACCCCCGAGGCAGGTCAGCTAACGCCTGTGCTGTTTCCAGGGAAGCCGTGGGGCTTGCAGGCCCACAGCACGTGTCGACGGCCTGGTGGCCAGCGCCGCGCTGGGCCCCGGGAGAGGAGGCTGACCTCTGGGCAGGGAGCCAGCTCTCTGCGGGGCAGGGGTGGACCCGTGGCCCGAGAGCATCCTGAGAGCACGGTCCTCACGCCTCAGGTCACATCACGCACTTAGTTGGAGTTTTTCAACCTTCACCGTGAACGTGAGCACGGTTTCCCATCTCCTGGCAACAGTGGATGAGAGCGGCAGGCGCGGGGCTGACGTCGGCGGGTCTGTGTCCCAGCACCTCCTCAGCTAGCCTGTTCCCTCTGAATCATTTCTGTCACTTTTTCTTTCCTTCAGAGGCGTTACACAGCTTTCAAAGCGCTTTCGGATGCATTCTTTGAGCCACACGCAGCCCTGTGAAGCTGGACTGGTGCGCTTCCACACGGGGGACAAGGGTGTGCGTGGCGGGGCCTCCTGACACGCGGCTGCGTCTGCCCCTACACCCGGGGCTGGGGGCGGGGGGCGGGGAGCTGGGCGCGGGCCGCCCTCACCACTCAGGCTCATTCTTCCACAGCTCACTGGAGTTGAGGGTGTTTGAAAGCAGCTGGCGATAAGAGCCCAGATGGGTTTAATTCAGTTAAAACCGTGCGTCCTGCTTAATCTGTCATACAAGTAATATAACTGGTAAGAAATTCAAACTATACAGATGCATATAAAGGAGCCACCGCAGGCTCGTGCCTTTCTTCCTGTCCCGTCTGTCTGGAGTCACCACTGTTAGTTTTTGTGGTTTTGGATTTTCCACTTCCCTTTTCACCTTGGGGACCTCGTCCTACCTACCTGTCTTCTAGTGCTAAGTGAGGAGCAGGGATAGCCCGCGGGTGTCAGCCGGGCTGGAAACCGAGACGGCGCCCCAGGATGCCGCCCCAGGCCCGGGAGAGATGTTGCAGAGATGGGAGCAGGAGAGGCCCCGATAACGTCAGTCAACAGTCTGCTTCCCTGAGCTGTTCTCAAACCTGGTGAGGAAATCGGGCAGAGGCCAGCAAGGTCACTAATGCTCTGAATGAACACGGATGAGCAGGGCGTGTGCGCAGGCAGAAGGTGTGCGGGGAAGGGGTCCCGTGGGAGCCGCAAGGTGGACGGCCCACATCAGAGAGGGTCCTGAGGGGCCCAGACAGAGGACATGGATCTCGTACCCTGGCAGCTCCCTGATGGGGTCTCGGGAAGCCCCCAGCTGTCCTCTCTCTCTAAGCACAGTGTCCCGAGTACTGGCAAGGACAGAGGCAAGGATTCCAAGTGAACAATGAGAAACGGTGGGGCCGGGTGTGCAGTGCTCCACGGCTGGAAGCTGACCCCTGATTTCCTACAGCATCGACACCAACAGGAAAAACGGTGTTCTGGAACAAGATTTTGTAAAGGTTCTTGGTTCCTTTAAAGTGACCAGTGTCTCATTAGCAAACAGGACACTTAAAACAAGTGGGCGTTCCATTTATAAGCGAAAGCCTCGTCAAGCAGACTGACCAAACAGTATGAAAACTTCGTTGCCATGGGGACTGGATAGGAGCCCTCCTGGGAGCACTGACTCCAGAGCCTGGGCAAGCTCGGTGCTCTTCCTGGGAACTTAAAGAGCTCTGTCTTGTGGAGACATCTGAAGTGTGTCATCACAGAATGTGGTGGTCAACACTGTACATCAACTATACTCCAATAAAGTTAAAAGAAAAAACGTGGTGGCTCTTTGGTCTACACTGTGAGAGCAGTGCCTGCTCCCTTCAGGGTGTCCTCAGGGCATCATACCTGAGCGTTGGGGGTGTATTAGTAGAGAACACTGCCAGCAATGTAAATATGTTAACAATGAACAGGAGTTCACATTTACAGTAACAACAGCTGCACAGCTAACACATGAAAACACAAGGACTGGGTGGATGCAAAATGTGATTACTCTAAAAGCCCAATGATCCTGTAACCGAGCAGGGCCTGATGGGGCCTTCCTGGGACAGGCCACTCCCGCAGGTCCTCTGCATCAGCTCCGCTCTGATCATACCCAGATCATAGTATCTGATGCACCTTTCCCGAGTTGTTTTACGGATGCTAAAACCGCCACCAAATGGAAGAAATTAACTACTTGACGACCATGGGCACGTAGCCCTCAGCCCTACTGGCACCTAAGGATTGATCATGTGAACCCCTGTGACCCTGCCCTGTGACCTCACCATCAACCAATCAGAGAACTGTGCACGAGCTGATCACACACCCTGGGACCCCCCTGCTCCCTCAGCTGGCCTTTGAAAATGCTTTCCTGAAATGCATCAGGGAGTTCGGGTGTTTTGAGCACAAGCTGTCTGGACTCGTTGCTTGGCGCCTGCAGTAAACGCTGCACTTTCCTTCCCCACAGCCCGGGATCAGTGGATTGGCTTTACCATGCAGGCAAGTGGACCCAAATTTGGGTCGGTAAAAATACATTTCCAGATTTTTAAATTACCACATATAACGTCTCTAAAAATACGCAAGATGTCAAAATATTTTTCATTTCAAATAATAAAATACAGAGAGAATTTGAAGCTACGAATGCACTATGACATCTCCATGATAAGGGACACTGACTGTCAGGGCCAAAGTGCCACGAGGGCTTCAGCCAAGGAGCATTTCCTTTCTCCGACAAGTCACGGGACAGAGGTGACCATCGTGAAGTACATCCTGCACTGCCCCATCTTCCCCACCCACAGCGTGGGTCCTGGGCTGGGACGTGTGCCTCCCCGGGAGCAAAGGGGCAATAAGCGTCGGTGGTGACAGTTGCCACACGCCTCCCTGCAGAGCTCCTACCACACTCCACGGGGACCACTCGGAACCTCCAGTCAGGCTCAATGACTCCTTTTGTCTTTTTACATTTTCATCTAGGATTTCTTAGTCGTTTTCTCAGGTGCACGTGTACGGAAGGTTTGCAGACAGTAGCGGGAAAGCAGCAAGAGTTGTTACAACATCTGAGGTCCCGACACCTGACATTACATCAGAGTTCTTCCCAGTCATTTTGAGGCTGGAGATAGATGGGCTCCAGGCTGGGCATTTACAGCCAGCCTCCTGGTTACATTTCCTGAGGCAGAGGCAAGTAGGCTCCGGGCTAGATATTTACAACCAGCCCTCTGTTTATACTTTGAGATAGAAATAACAACAGGAACAGGGTAAATAGCTGGATTTTGTCTCCTGAGGACACTTTAAGATAACAGTTGTGGCAAGAACAGAGAGGAGCTAACCCTTGTTTGAGTAATACATCCACAGGTCACGTATCTCCCATCCTTGGGGCAAGGGAGACATTGCACGTGTGCAGAAAGGCTCCTTGGGAGTCAAAAAGGAGGGGGCACCACCCCATAATAGGTGACACCAAGGCCCCCCATATGCCTCTGGGTTGGAATCCATCTTGGAAAAAAGTTGCACACGCACGGTGGGGAGGGTCCTAGGGGAGGTCAGGTGTGGAGAAAGAAACCAGATAATTGGCTAAAGGCAAACAAAGACCTGGAAGGACTGTCCTGTCAATGACTTAACAGCCTCTTCACTGCGCTCGCCCACACCCTTTCTCTCCAGGGGTGCATCTCTGCCCTGCTTCTGTCTTAAACTGCTTCTCTGTGTGCTCTCCCACTTGTTGTTGTGCTGTGTCTCTAATAATAAACTTGTGCCTGTTTTTACAGTTTTTGCCTCCTTGAGAAATGCATTTTTATTTCTTTATTTTTCCAGTCAGCATTGTTTATTTTTTAAATTTTTATTGGAGTATAGTTGCTTTACAATGCTGTGTTAATTTCTACTGTACAGTAAAATGAATCAGCTATACATATACATATATCCCCTTTTTTTGGATTTCCTTCCCATTTAGGTCACCACAGTGCATTAAGTAGAGTCCCTGTGCTATACAGCATGTTCTCAGTTATCTATTTTATACGCAGTATCAATAATATAAATGTGTCAGTCCCAACCCCCAGTAGAGTCCCTGTGCTATACAGCATGTTCTCAGTTATCTATTTTATACACAGTATCAATAATATATATGTGTCAGTCCCAATCTCCCAATTCCTCCCACCCCTCCTTCCCCCTTGGTATCCATACATTTGTTCTCTACATCTCTGTCTCTATTTCTGCTTTGCAGCTAAGATCACCTGTACCACTTTTCTAGATTCCACAGATATGCGTTAATATACAATATTTATTTTTCTTTCTGACTTACTTTATGACCCTCTCTAGGTCCATCCACGTCTCTACAAATGACCCAGTTCCTTTTAATGGCTGAGTAATATTCCATTGTATATATGTACCATATCTTCTTTATCCATTCGTCTGATGGTGGACACTTAGGTTGCTTCCATGTCCTGGCTATAGTGAATAGTGCTGCAATGAACATTGGGGTGCATGTGTCTTTTTGAATTATGGGAGAAATGCATTTTTTAGTGGGGGAAAGAGCCAGGGAAAATTTGTCTGGTGGCTTGCTGGTCTAGCAGCTAGGATTCCTGGTTTCCATCCAGGCTACGCAGGTTCAATTCCTGGTCAGGGAACTAAGATTGCGCTTCAAGCCACCAGCCACTGCTGCCTCTCTGAGATCAATTTCATTGTCTCAAAATAATTTGGTTTTTCAGGCCCAGGAGAGAGCCAACAAGGGCAAAGCTTGATGACTGGGGGGCGGTAGCCCCAGGC